GCTATTCCTTTCTCTGCCCCTCAAGTATCTATTTTACAATGGTATGCCAGGGAAACCAAGATTCAAAAGACAGCCAAGAATTTTAACATTATTTCCCCCCTTTTACCCATTCAAACCATGCCTCAATCCCTGTATCCCAGAGCCCTGTTGTTCCAAGATTGTGCCTACATCATCATTTACCTCTGTCCCACTTCACCCATGCAAATCTGCCTAACTGTTCTCCCTTCTGCATTGTTCCATTCTCCTCCCCCTTCTTGTGTATTGGCCCCCTCCCCAACACCCAAACTGTGTTTATTCCTTACCCTGTAGCAGGATTAATTGTGACTGTCCACACTGTAAACTCTAAGGCCAGGATAGATTAGTTTTTCCATCCAACTAGGCTTAAAAGGAGCCATCTTAGATGCAGGAACAGGCTATTCTAAGACCATCAAGAAGCAAGAGGAGGAGTAGAATGTGAGATCCCTACCTATGAAAGTGGTGACAGCAAAGATGGAAGCAGAAGTGGTGGCATGGAAAGACAGAGCAGCTGCAGACTCTAGGACCATGAACTAAGGATGTGTGTCTGTGGGTCAGAGGCTGGCTTGCAGAATGTGCCCTTTGGACATTTAAATGAATATATATACTTTTTTTTTTCCTTTTGCTTTATATGTGTGCATGAAATATTTTTGTTTTGTTGATTTGTGAAATATAAGATGTAAATGTGGCCTGTGTATTTTTGGTTGTACACGTTTTAATTATGTCATGCTATGCAAAAGTATGAATTTATAATTTTCTTTATTTAGAGATTATGCATATTGTTTATAGGTGCCAGTTTGACAACTCTCTACATATATATATCAACTGCCTACAGTTGACAAGGGGTGGACTGTGAAAGGTAAGGTTTTATTTCAACTTTACTGAGCCAGTATTCCCAGTAGTTTGGCAGTTGAGATGTGGTTATCCCCATAGTGATGAAGCGTAATAAAGGCATAGTTAACTCTATGATGATTGGCTGTTAGCAGTCAATCAGTTGAAAGGATGTTTCCTTGAGAGTGTGGCCTGCTCCCAATATAATGGACACACAGGGAAAGCCCCCTTTCTTTTCTGCTTGGGACCTGGGATTCTACAATTGTGAATAATTTCTTTGATATAAACTTCTCTTTATATATATATATACACATACATACATACATACATATATAAGTTTCACTGGTTTTGCTTCTCTAAAGTACCCAGCTTAAGACAAATACTATATGATGTTGAAGAATAACAATGAATCTGTGAATGACCTTATAGCATGAATGAACCTTAGAACATTATGTAGAGTGAAATCACAAAAGGATCAATATTGTATGAGACCATTATTGTTAAAACTCCAGAAAAGATTTTCATGCTAAAAGTAGTATTCTTTGATGGTTACCAGAGATGGAAGGGAAGGGAAAGTAATTCACTGGCTAGAGGATATACACATGTTACCTTGGGTATCTGGGAAGGCAATATACAAGAAGAGGGAAGTTAGCAGGAGAATTATTAAGTCAGGTGAAGATACAGGTAGGAATACAAGGGCTAAAGGGGATAAAGGTAAATACTGTTATATACACAAACCTAGATCAACAATATTCAATGGGTAGATGTGTTGACAGGTGCAAAGACTGAACTGGTATGTGAGGGAAAGTGGGAGTATGCCCACAAATAGATGAGTTTGACAGAGAATGTTTATACATGGATATCTACCTTTGATGCAAATATACCTATGAATACAGTTGAGCAAGCATATAGGGGGCAAAATGAGGAAAACTACTTAGATATCACTAAATATCTTAAGGTTAATGAGTATCTGAGCCTGGGGGTGGGGGGGACACCCACCCAGGGCACACCATGATCAATTGGTATAACATAGCCACAAAGATATACTAATATATACTACTTTGATGAGTAATGACTAGGATTTTTAAAGCTAATTAGTGGCCAAGACCACAAGGTCAATGGTTCAAGCTCACCAGCCACTCCTCAGAAATCCTATACAGGGTCACTATGGGTTGGAACGACTCGACAGCACTTAACAACAGTGTGTAATTAATGGTCTCTCCATGTGTGGAAAAAGAAGAGTGATGAAAATTCATGATGCTTGGAATCAACTAGTTCAATAGAACAATGGAACATATGAAAATCAGTCCCCACAACTGTGATACCAGAACTAAATGGTACCCGACTATCACTGCAAACTGCTCTGAAAGGGGTCAAATTAGAAGGATCCAGTAAAGGTGGGAGAAAATGTGGGGCACAACTCAAAATTATTTTCTGAAAAAACAGACTCACTGGTCAGAAAGAGATGGGAGGAATCTGAGACTGGCTCTCGGCCACCCTTCAGGTCTGGAACGAAACTCACCCTCATGGCCCAATTTTCAGCCAAGCAGTAGATAGGTATATAGTGCGGACAACAACACTAATACATCATACTCACCATGGAATGGTCAACCAGTCAAGATTAAAAGGGTAACATTTACCTAAAGACAAAGTTGAGAAGTTATGGCAAGGAGAGTGGAATGGATATAGGAACCACAGGGAGGAAGCAGGATAACTGTTGTAATGTAGAGGAAATTGCAATCATTGAAATGAAACAAAAGTATATGATTTTTTGAATGAAAAGATGGATGATCTTGTCTGTATACTTTCACACATTCACAATAAAAAGTTTCAAAAGAAAAAAATGGGGGGGGAGGGTAACTTGTAAGGAACAACTCAATTGCTTACTTATTATAACTAAACATGTATGAACCCTAAGTAAAATTTTTGACATGTGTAGAGTTTGGAAATAGAGACTTCACTTAATCACTGCGGAAGCCGTAAGTTTTCTGAACCAACACTTGGGACACATGAGCTGACAACTATGAATAATGCTCTAGGTATGATGCAAGAGAATATTTAAAATAAGAACAGATTGGGAAATTCATGATGCCAAAGTAAGCAGATTACAGTACAAAGAGAAGCTTGAGGGTCTGATTTGAGTCATAAAACATAGAAACATACTTACCAGAATAAATGATGTGGTTGACTGAAGATGTGATCTTTGGGTATTCCAAACGAGGTCATAAGTTTGAGGAAGTAAAACTCCTCTCACTAAGGAAAGAACAATTAAAGAACATTTCTAGTCGAGATACTAGATACAGGGATAATTAAAAAACATGCTCTCTTCTTTATAGTTAGAATTTTAGAACACAAAGAGAAGACTTAAAAATGCTTGCTACTTTATTCAGGTATTTTATTCATGTAGTACAACTGTCTGAACATTAAGAATAAAACATAAAATAAAAACTGTTCCCACTGTTATATTTATAACACTTCTGTATTGTTTGTTTTCCTTTTTTATGTCAGTTTTTATTCTAATATTTATAAGTAGTTATTTTAACAATGATTGGTTTTTTTGTTCGAGGTAGGAAAGTTGACTGAGATTCCAACCCATTTGATTGATGCTAGGAATGATTATTCAAAATCATTCCCTTTTTGGTAGAAACTGCTTTTGAAAAATGGACTAGAACACTATCTTATATATGTTGTTGTTCAGTGCTGTCTAGCTGGTCCCAACTCATAGTGACACTGCCTAGGGTTTCTGAGGAACTGCCTATCCTGTGATTTGAAGTCTAGTGCTGATCCTACAGAACCACACCAGAAGTCCATATAACAATGTTAAAAAGCAACAACGGAAAAAGAGTCATTTATATAATTAAATCAAACAAACTTTATTGAACCTTTACTAGCAACTAAAGACTTTGCTGAAGTCAATGTTGTAAAGATTAATAAAACCACAGTCTCCTCTGGAAGAAACATAAATACAAATTATGAAACTACATGAGGGGCATATATACACTGTATGGAAACAGACAAAGGAGCAATTGATTTTACCTGGAGGATAAAGGAAGTGAAAGAAAGCTAAAAGGAAGTGATTGCCAGGAGGGTAATTTGATGTATCTGAGCAAAACCAGAGATAGAACCTTTCTTGAGTCACTTGCTTCCACTGGCTTGACATATAGGAATCTACCAGAAAGACAAAAAGTCTATTTCTCTATTTAGTTTACATATTATCTCAAACTCTTTTTTATCTGTGTGAACAATCATCTTGTCTTACATGGAAAATAAGTTCCAGAAGATCATATCTTTCCGTGAAGTGATATCTTTCGAGATGCTGACCATGTTACCTAGAAAACTGCAGCCATTCAGAACTCTGGGGTTGGTGGAGGAGTGGATTTTAGGAACAAAATTCTGAGCAATGAAAGGCTGAGGCAATGAATTTGTTGGTGTTGGGTATCCTGAGTTGTTGTTTTGTTTTGTGTTTTTTTAGTTTGCTTGGAAATTCTGGGTTGTTGACCTCTTTTAAGACATCTTTTGGGATGTAGTTCCATCACCTGGGTAGTCCCCAGCAGGAAGATCTTGCTATGCTGTCTGTGGATTTAATTTCCTAAACAACCTTACTTTGCCTATTTCATACCCTAATCCTTACGCCATTCTCCTTACACCTTGGTTACTACCTTGTGTATACTTCTGCTCAATTTAAATTTAGTATTCCTTCAGTTTTGACTTCTTAGCTATATCTATTCCCTGTAAGATCCCAATATCTAGATTCCTAGAACTTCTGCCCGTATATCATCCCTATGAACAGCTCCTTGCCAGAAAAGACTTTTACAGTTGGATATGATAACAAGCCTCTTCTCTTTTCATTATTTTATCTGACTCAAGTATGCCAACAAAAAGGAGCATGTGAGAAAGTGTTATCTGCCTGCTCCAAAAATACAATAACTCCCTATCCGTTCTACTGTTATAGAACTGATAGTTTTATAAAGTCCTACATAACCCATAAGTTCAGGCCACTTTGTGCCCCTGTTTACACATAATGTCACATTTTAAAAACATCAGTTCAGCATCCAAAGTAATTAAAAACTAATTTGGCATTTTAGTCCAGGATCAAAAATAAATAAATCTTATATGGGGAGAAGAAAATTATATTACACACAATTGTGTTTAAAATTGTGTCTCTTCCTCTTTCCTTCCCTCCCTCACTTTAGCTCTCTTTCTTGCTTTCACATAAACATATAACACAGGCATACGTATACAACTACCCCAAAGTACTTTTTTGCTCTTCTTCTGAATGTTTCCCTTGTAAATGTTTATGGAAGCAGACTGCCACATGTTTCTCCTATGGGTCAGCTGATGAGTTCAAACCATGGAGGTTTTGGCTAGCAGCTGAGTACTTTAACCACTGTACCAAGAAGTCACCTTCTAAATGGTTTCTAAATGTCATGCTATCTCTCCACTTTCTGCACTCTTTGTGATTTCTGTCTTATGAATAATAATGAGCCCTGGTGGCATTGTGCATTAAGCATTGGGCTACTAACCAAAAGGTCAGCAATTCAAGCCCACTAGCTACTTTGCAGGGAAAAGATGGGGCAATTGCTTCCAGGAAGATTACAGCCTCTGAAATCCTTTGGAGCAGCTTTTACTCTGCCATGTAATGTTACTATGAGTCAGATTCAACTGGAAGGCAGTGGGCTTGGTTTTGGGGTTTTGGTCTATAAATATTCCAGTGAGTACTTGATTAATCTGCACAGAATAGGTGCATGACGAAAGCCCCATTCACATGAAGATGGTTTCTGTTTCATGCAGGCTAGAAAATGCTCAGAATGACATATATCTTAGCCAAAGCTTATCACACTCACCACTGATAAGGTGAAGTGAATCAGGATCCAGATTCAGGGAAGAGTTGCCCAACAAAAAGTTCTGGTGCAGAGTCTCAGCAATATAGTCTCTGAAGTTACTAATTGTGTAAACAGCAGTGGGCTTATCATCCAATTCCACAAGACCATGGTTTTCCACTTTGTTAGAATGAAGGCTAATTAGATCCCAGCTGGTGTTGCTGATGGCTTCACCATTGAAGGTAACTGCGTAGTGAACATCTACACCACTACAGATGAAAAAGAGAACAAATTAGAGCCAACTCAAGTTGTTGTTAGCTGCCACCATGCAAGAATTCTACCACTGAACTACCACTGTCTTCATTACATACTTCTAAGGAAACATAAATAAAGGAACTTTGAGCCTATGAGGACTAGAGGAGGAGGTCTCAAAAAGGCAGAGACACTATCACTGTTCTCTGAAGACTCTAGGCACCTTTTGCCATCCCCTCCTCCTTCCCAGAGGAGCTCTGGTAGCATAGTAGATTACAAACTAAACTGCTAACTACAAGATCAACAGTTCGAATCTACCAGTCGCTCAGTGGGAGAAAGATGAGTGATGCTTTCTACTCCCATAAAGATATACAGCCTCAGAAACCCTATACGGGGTTGCTATGAGTCAGAACCAACTCCACGCACATCACCACCACCACTATCACCTCTTTCCCAGAGAATACAGGGTCATAGTTCTAAAAATAGGGAAAGAGGTCTTAAACGTCCACAGAGATCACACCTGTGAAACTATCTGAGCATCTTCTCCACCCATTATCAGGGATGGAGTTGTGTCCCCCAAACTATATGTCAACCTGGCTAGGCCATGATTTCCAGTATATGGCTGTTCTCCTTTTTGAGATCTGATGTAATCACTCTCCATTTTGTGATATGTGTTGTAAATCCTAACCTGTATATGTTAATAAGGCAGCATCAGGGTGTGTTGTATCTTGAGTCAAAACCTTACAAGATGGTGTGACTTAAGTCTCACCCTTATGCAAGTACTTTTCTCAAGTACTCAAGTCATGCCTTTACTCGTGTCACCAATTTTATTCAAGTCAACCCTTTGAGTCATACCTTTTATCTTATAAGAGATAAAAGGAGAGAGAATCTTGCATAGTAGAGAGACCTGACTGCCTCCAAGAAAGAAGTGTCGAGCCGGGAGCTGAGTGCATCCTTTGGGCTGATGGTCCCTGCACTGAGAACCTTTTAGCCTCAAGGAAAGACTGATGACAAGACAAATGGAGATCTCCAAGGAACACTAGATCCACCAATGTTAAAAAGAGACAAGGACTTTCCCCCAGAGCCTACAGAGAGAGAAAGCCCTCCCCTTGAGCTAGCACCCTGAATTCAGACTTCCCTCTTAAACCATGAGACAATAAATTTCTGTTTGTTAAAGCCATCCACTTGTGGTATTTTTATTATAGCAACACTTGTTGTTGTTAAGTGCCATTGAGTCAGGTCCAACTCATAGCTACCCTGTACAGATTATATGAAGAAGAAGTTGGCATCAGGATGGGAGAAAGATTCATTAACAATCTGCGATATGCAGATGATACAACCTTGCTTGCTAAAAGTCAAGAGGACTTAAAATACTTCCTGATAAGGATCAAAGACCACAGCCTTCAGTAAGAGTTGCACCTTAATGTAAAGAAAACAAAAATCCTCAGCACCGGACCAATAAATAACACCCATATAAAGGGAGAAAAGATTGATATTGTCAAGGACTTCATTTTGTTTGGATCCACCATCAATGCTTGTGGAAGCAGCAGTCAAGAAATCAAAAGACATACTGCATTAGGCAAAACTGCTGCACAAGATCTCTTTAAAGTGTTCCAGAGCAAAGCTGTCAGTTTGAAAACTAAGGTGTGCATGACCCAAGACCTGGTATTTTCAATAGCCTTATATGCATGTGGAAGTTTAACAATAAATAAGGAACACCGTAAAAAGAATTAATGCATTTGAGTTATACTGTTGGGAGAAGAATATTAAAAGTACCACAGACTGCCAGAAGAACAAACAAATCTGTGTTGGAAGAAGTACAGCCAGGGCTTACAAACTTTTATGGGTGTGCTTAGTTTCAGAAAAACGAACTATTTTTTCTCTTTCCCAGATGGATCTGGTGAAAGGGATGGGAGATGATGGTAATGGGACTTTATGATTCAGTTGTAATTGTTAGAAGGATTCATTGTGATTGTCACAACTATAATTGTAGAAGATGGATAACTAAAAGGAGGGAGTCATTAATCTTTCACTTCATGAACAGATGATCCCAGGACCATCAAGAAGGAAGAACACGAGTGGAATGTGAGATCCCTAACTTAAAAAAAGTGGCAACAGAAGAGATGGTGGCATAGGTAGTGGTATGGAGAGACAGAGCAGCTGCAGGCTCTAGGTCTATGAACTGAGTAAGGCTGTGTGCTTGTGGGCAGGAGGCTGGCTTGCAGAATGTGTCCTTTAGACATTTAAATGAATATATATTTTCTGTTTTGTATGTATGCATCAAATATTTTTGCTTTGTTCATTTATTAAATATAAGATATAAATGGAGAGCCACAGGGATGAAGCAGGATAACTGCTATTGCAGGGAGTGGATTGTAATCAATGAGATGAAACAAAGCATATAATTTGTTGAATGTAAAGCTGATGATCTTGTCTATAAACCTTCACTCAATTAACAATAAAAAGTTGTGTTTTTTTTAAAGCCAGAATGTTCCTTAGAAACCAGGATAAAGAAACTTCACCTCTCATACTTCCGACATACTATCTGGAGAGATCAATCCCTGGAGAAGAACAACATGCTTGGTAAAGTGGAGGCTCAGCAAAAAAGAGGAAGTTTCCCTATGAGATGTATTTGCACAGTGTTGAGACAGTAATGGTCTCAAATGTGTACAATAATTGTGACAATAGCGTAGGGTCGGACAGTGTTTCATTTTGTTGTGGGTAGAGTCACTATGAGTCAGAACCAACTCAATGGTACCTAACAACAACGGGTGGCTCAGCGTAGCGTCCTGCTGTGGCACTGCAGGATAAGCAATGGACTGCTAGCTGCAAGGTCAGTGATTCAAATCCACCAGCCACTCCTCAGAAAGCCTATACTGGGTCTCTGTGAGTCAGAACAGACTCCACAGCACTTAACAACAACAACGTGCTCAGCTTAGTACCTGGCCCTAAGAAGTATCCCAAAATTAATTGCCATTGAGATGATTCCAACTCATAATGTCCCTCTGTAGAGTTTCTGAGGCTGCAAATCTTTATAAAAGCTGACAGCCTCATCTTTCTACTTGGAGCAGCTGATAGATTTGAATTGCTGATTTTAAAAGTACAGTGCCCAACCCACAGTGCTACGAAGGCTCCTTGATAGGTACTCAGTGCCTACAATATGATCAAAAATCTATATTTGTCTGAATATAAAAGAAAACTGCAGCTTAATTAATGTGTAGCACTGTAGAATAAACACTGGACTGATAACTGCAAGGTCGGCAGTTCAAACCCACCAGCCACTCCTCAGAAACCCCATACAGAGTGGTTATGAGTTGGAACAGACTCGACAGCACTTAACAGCAACAAAGAAACAGCATCAACATAATGAGGATGATATCTAAAAAAAAAACTGGTCAACTAATTAATGCTACTATTTCGTGTAGGGATGGGGAAACTTTCGTCTGCCAAGGGCCATTTGGATATTTATAACATCATTTGCAGGCCATACAAAATTATCAACTTAAAAATTAACCTGCTATATTTGATCAAACATTTAATTAACTCACCCCTAACATGATAGCTGGAACTGTGATTGCCTTGGCAGGGCCAGACTAAATGATTTGGTGGGCCATGCATTCCCTACCCACAATTTAGTAGAAAGATAACTCTAAGCTCCCAACTATAGTACTGGGGCTTCCCTGTCAAAGAGCTCTCTAGGTTGGAGATGACTATAAGACACCATCATGGCTTGATGACATTGGCCATTAAGAGCATGTTGTTGTTGCTAAGGGTCATCTAGTTAGTTTCAATGCATAGCGACCCTGTATAGGATTTCCAAGGAGCAACTGGTGAGCTTGAACTGCCAACCTTGCAGTTCAAACTAACATTGCAGTCCAGTGCATTAACCCACAGTGCCACACCAGGACTCCTTATTAAGAGCATGGAATTTCCTTTTTTGTGTGTATTTCAAGCTCATATAGGAAACTTTTGACTATTACTCTCTATAGAATTTTCCTATGGTTAGAGAATACATGAGTCTGCCAATGAAATAATTAGTCAATTGATAAAGGTATTTCTCATTTTAAGTGTTTCAATTGGCATCCCGTAAATTCATGGTCTTTTGGGATTTGATAAGCACGAATTGGTCTTCAGAGACTTCACTTCCTAGTAGTTCTGGATCTGTCCTGACCTGCCTCTGCAGACCACACCCTGGTCTGCAGGAGATGCCATAAAGGCCAGCCAGCTCCTGATCTCCCCGTTCCTCTCATTCTGAGTGACTTGAATAAGGTTTTCCTCCCAGATTTTATAAGCTGCCTTTTCCAAGGCAGTGATTTAAAATTCTCAAAATATCAAAATATCTCTAAACAATGTGAGCACTTTGAATCCTTGACACTCGACTAAATGATAAAAATATCTGCTTTACTTCTAGCACTTCTGTCAAGCATTTAAAACATTTAGTTTTCAATATTTTTATACGTAAATTCATGGGTACATTTAAAAATAAGAAACTTAATTCTGCAAAATAAACTAAAATGACCAAGGACAACCCAAAGTGGAAGAAAACAGCAAGAGGGACACCTACTGGTTGGACTTACCACACCACACACCCTCTTGTTCTTTATGTACATTCTGATGATTGGTCACAGGCACTGTGCTAATACATTCCCTGCATTACTCCCTCCACCATTCATGACATATACACACACTTGCACACAAATGTACACATCTTCTTCATTTGGTTATTTCTTTCAGTTCAGATGTCACTTTTTGGGGTAAACCTCTTTCTAATACCAGAGAAATGGTTGATATTCAGGCTCCATCTCTCCCACTGACTGCATGTTGTTGTTGTTAAGTGCCTTCAAGTCAAATCCAACTCATAGGGTTTCCAAGGAATGGATGGGGGTTTGAACCACTAACCTCGTGGTTAGCAATCCAGGACTTATCCTACAGTTCCTCACCAGGACTCTACTGACTACACAGAGATAATTATTTATTCATCTCTGTATTCCAAACACAGTGATTCAATCAATATTTT